AGTGAGCATCCGTGGAGGGTTGGTAGCAGCTGGCTCTGCTCTGGGCCGGGCTGCAGCCTTGTTTCCAAGCCAACCGGAGTTCCGTGCACTCCCCAAATGGCTGCAGACAATGAGCCCGGCGAGCCTCCCCCGTACCGGGCTGAGCGCGGCTGATGCTGAAAGCGGGGAAAGCTGAGGCAAAGGGCTCAGCCTCTGCAGCACCCTGGTGTCATCCTGCCCTTCGCCAGCAGCTCCATGTCCAAGTGAGAGGCTCTGGCAGGGATGACACCACCCGGGAACAGTACTGGCCCTGCATCCCTGACCTGTCTGGAGCATTTGTCAGTGCCAGGAGGGAAAAAAGTTAGTCCCTGGTCTGGTGATGAAGACACTCGTGCATGTTCTTCCCCCTGAAAAATATCAAATTAACAGAGAATAAAGGGAATCAAGCCTGGCATCATTGAAAACCTGGGTATTACTGTCTTTGCTGACCAGAAAGCAATGCTGGAGCTCGGAGATGCCACCCAGCACAATCAGGGTCCCTCCAGGGGTAGTGGGCATGTGTTTATCTCATGGAATGATTGAGAATTTCTGCCTGGACATCTTAGTGCAATTTTATTCTGATTTTGAGGCAGTGCAACCTGTTTTCCCTCGTGTGTCCCTCACATTCCCCTCACATCTCTCACATTCCCCTCAAATTTCCCTCACATTCCCCTCACAAGTTGCTTGCCACAGACCTCACATCACTCAATTTTATAGTGGCCCCAGGAGCCTTCTCCACACTTGGCCCCACAGGACACCTCAGGATGCGATGCTGTGACTCTGTGCCTCCCCGCCGCCGCACCCAGCATGGCGCCGCGCCACACTCAACATGGCGGCAGCGGGCTGAGGCGGGCGGGGGGCGCGGAGGGGGCGTGTCGCGCCCCCAAGATGGCGGCGGCGGCGGGCGGGGTGAGATGGCGGCAGGCGCGCAGGCGCGGGCGGGCGGCGGTGACGCGCGGGGCGCGCGGTGACGGAGCGCGGCGGCCGCGGCCCTTTGTTGGCGGCGGTTGAGGCGCGGCGGGGCCGGGCCGGGCCGGGGCCAACGGCGGCGGCGGCGGGGCCGGGCGCGGGGAGGCCGCGGGAGCCGCCGCCGCTCCCTCAGCGCCTCGCCATGGACTCAGACGAGGGGTACAACTACGAGTTCGACGAGGACGAGGAGTGTAGTGAGGACAGCGGCGCGGAGGAGGACGAGGAGGACGAGGAGGAGGACGAGCCCGACGATAACCTGGACCTGGGCGAGGTGGAGCTGGTGGAGCCCGGGCTGCGCGTCGGCGGGGAGCGCGACGGGCTGTTGGGCGGCGAGACGGGCGGGCTGGGCCCCGGCGGCGGCGGCGGCGGTGGCGGCCTGGGCGGCGGGCCGGGCCCCGGCGGCGGCCCCGAGCAGGAGGAGGATTATCGCTACGAGGTGCTGACGGCCGAGCAGATCCTGCAGCACATGGTGGAGTGCATTCGCGAGGTCAACGAGGTCATCCAGGTGCGGCCCCCGGCAGCGGGACTGGGGGGGGACACACCGCCGAGGCGGGGGGGGGGTGGCGGGACGGGCCAACGGCCTCTGAGAGGGCACCGGGCCCGGCCCGCCCGCGGGACAGGGACCCACACACACTGCGAGGGACCCCCGGGTGAGAGGGGGGCTCCTCGGTCCCCCTTGGAGTTGGAGGGGAGCCTCCTCCTCTGCACCCCCGGGGTGATGAGAGGGCCTCTCGTCACTCCCTGGGGTGAAGGTGCTTCCTGGGCACCCCCGGAGGTGCGAGGGGGGTCTCCTGGGCACCCCCGGGGGTGGAGGGGGCGCTCCTCGGTGCCCCCCAGGGTGGAGGCGGTGTTTCCCAATCCCCCCCTGGATGAGGGGGAATTCCCCGGCACCTCCTGGGGCGGAGGAGGCTCCTCGTCACCCCGTTCCCCCGAGAGGCCCCTGGGGCCGGCCAGGATCTCGCTTCCTGCCATGGAAGCGTCGGGAACGAGGCCCTTGGCACTAAAAGGACTCCTCTTTCTTTGTGTGATTGCGAGCGGGGGGGCTGTGATCTGTGTTTTTGCCTTTCTCCCACTCCATCCTCACGCTGTCCGGGGGCTTTAGCCCCTCCAGCTCCTTCGAGAAGCGGCGGAGTCGATGGCAAGTCCTGGAATTCCAGGAGAGGCATTCGCTCTGGTTTTGTTGCCGTTTCCCTTCCCCCTTCCTACACACAGGAGTTGAACCTTGTGTTTATTTCCAGCACAGACCAGGAGGGATACGAGCAATCCTTTCACAACCATAACTTTTTTTACTTCCAGTTTTTAAGCATGTCTCTTTAAAAGTGAACTAGGGTTCGAAATAACATTTACCCTCTTTAGATCAAAGTATCTAAGTCTTATCTGTTGGCTCCCGAGCTTTTGGGGAAAAAATTCAAGGCACTGAAGCAATCTGGCATTCCTTTCTAAAAGCTCATGGCAAGGTTTGGCTCCAGCTCACCATCAAGTTCCTGATGCCGTTGATGGGCAATCAAGTTCCTGATGCAGGTGATGGGTTTTCTTTTGTTCCCATTTACTCAATATTCAGAGTAAATAGGAGATGCTACTCTCCCACATGCCAACAGGAATAATGTGAAAAATCTGTGGATGTTAAATATTGAGGGATCCAGTGCCCAGAAAGCAGTTGTTTTGCTGGTTGTGTGTATTGGTAAATCCCTTTAAACACGAAAAAGCATTCCCTCAGTGAATGCTTTCCCCCCACTGTCCTGTGCTCTGTTACAGTGTTACAGTGGCTGTAACAGCAGCTTTAAAATGTTGCTTCGTGTGCTGTAAATCCCCTGTAGTTTATGTGGAGCTGGATGCAAACAACTGTAAAAGCATTTGCGTGCTAAATTAGTAAATGGCATTCCTTGAGTCAAATTAAAGTTTATAACTTTAATGATAGTGCTGCCCCTGTAAAACTGAATAAAGGAGTCTGCCCGGATTAGCTGATTACCCTGCAGTTAAAGAAGATCTCATGGTTAAGCAGGGTTGTTTCTTTGCTCCCAGTTATTGATCCTAGTATAGGGAGGGGAGCAGTTGGCAAGCAGACATGAAAACAGTTGGGAACTTCAGGTTTTTACTCTTTGAAAGAGCCATTAAAATGGTGGGTCTGTGTTTAATGACTAAGACTGTGGCCCATACTGATTGTGTTGGACAGATTCTGCCATACTCCTTATTATCTTTGCATAAGAAAAGTGGTGGAAAAGTTGCTACCGGTGAGGAGTTGTGAGTGTTCCTGCTTGTGCATTTTCCAAACCCAGCCGGTGGACTCACCTGCCTGCTCTTTGTGAACTAATTTCTTAGACAAGGTCCTGATTTCTGATCTGAGGGAGTTGTTTCCCCCCTTTTACACTGCCCTTAAACTGTTTGATGTGTGTGCTTGACCTCTGCATTGCAAAACTAGTGGAGAGAAGTTGATTTAGGTAATGATCCCTTACTCCTGTCCCTGGAGTGGCCTGAGAGGCCTGACCCTGCAGATCTGCCCCCACAGAGCCTCCTGGCTGCTGCTCTGCTCCTGGTGCTGCGTTTGCAGTGGTTCCTCCTGGTTTGGCTAAGCCAGTCTGTTTGGAATGTCATGGGGAAACTCGGGACCCAAAATCAACTTAAGCCCTGGAATGCATCAGAAGAGAAGTAGGAAAACACTCAGTTGCTGTGCATGGCTGTTAAATGCCAACTTCCTGCCATCGGATTTCTGGGCTGTTTTGGAGCTGAGTGACCAGAGTTCAGGTGGTGCCTCAGGATTTGCTCATCCCCACTTGTGTGGCTGCTGGTGAAATCTTCCAGGGCTCCCTTGTGTTTATTTCCTTGTGTTTGGCGCCCAACCAGGATTGCTGCTGCTGCTTTTCTGGTTCAGTAAACCTTTTCTGGAGTCACATTGGCTCGGGATCCTGCTGCGGATCCTCGGTTGCAGAGCTGTGATTCACTTGTTCCAGTCAAGTACTGGATGGCTTCGATCCCCGTGTGTCTGTGTTGGGTTCTTGGTAGCAAAGGGTGACGGTTGTGGTTACGTTTTTGAGTGCTTTGAACTTATTTGTTCAAGGGAGGATGTAATGCAGAGCCTGAAAACTTCAGCTGGAGGTCCTGTGCTCTATAATCAGTGATTTTTCTGTGATCAGGAGTAAGGTGTAAATGGGATTTTGTTTTGCAGCTGCAGCAAGGGGAGAAGGGAACAGGCAGTCATGAAGTATCTGGAAGGGGGTGTCTGAGCCATGGCAGGTGTAACTCTGTATTAAAACACTCCATTTGGGCAGTTTGTTAGCTGACAGTGCTATAGTTGAAGGGACTGAATTAAATCTATTTCCCCCTCCATTTAGTCATTTCCAAATACAAGCCGTATAAGGAAAACCATGAATTTTTCAGGACAGGGATTTGATCTGATGAGGACTTTGCAGAAGTAGGAGCCAACTTGTGGCAAACTCCCTGGTCACAGACCCTGTGACTCTCACCGTGGTGTGGAGTGGGCTCACCACCAAACTGCTCTGTCACTTGGCCTCCTAAGACCACTGAACTTGCAGTGAACCAGGCAAGTCTCAGAATGTCTCAAATATTCAGAATATTTTACGCTTGCTCTTTCTTGTCTGAGCATAAGCAAGGTTTCAGGTGTTTAATGGTGATTTTTGCACAGTATTTGGCACTTATGCTCCTAATCTGATTTGACTCCATGTGTCGCACAACAAGAATTCCCCTCGCTCTCCGAATGCAAAAATAGGGGTATGAATAACCCCTTAACCTTGTGCTGTCACTTGACTGAGACTTTTAAACCTCAGCTCAGAGTATCCCTTCCATCCTGTCGCTGATGAGGCAGAGCAGAGAGCCGTTTGCCAGGGTATTTGGGATTTTAGTTGTCTGAGTAAACAGGCGGATTTCTGGTGGTTTTCCAGCCGCTGGCAGAATAACTTAGCAAAGGACTGTAAAAACCTAGACACAGAGGTGGTGTGGAACAAAAGGCTTCCTCCTCCCAAAGGCATTTTCCCACAGTTGAACGTCTTGCCCGTATTCTTCCTCCCTGAACTTTTGTCCAGATAATTTGCTGCCACTCGTAACTCCTTTTTTTTTATTATTTTAATCAGATTGCTATTTCCATCTTTGCTCTAGATTTTTCTGAAAATAAACTCAAAAAATGTTTAGAATGGCATATTTATTTCTGCTCTGAGTAGAGCACATGATGTGCCTCTGTAGCCTGGCTTGGCCCAGTGTTCTCCTTGCCTTGTTGCAAGCTTGTGCAGTTCCAGTATTTCCAGGTTGGATTCATTTCCCCTTTTTGCTCCCCTTCTTCTGGAGCATTCTGGTGACATCAGTGTGGTGTCACCATATTCATACTTTTTGGACTTTGTAATGGTGAGATATTGAAAATACTGGGGCGAAGCTCTGAGGTGGCACAAAGGCAGTTGGGACTCTTGTTTCCTTTCCCCATCCCACAGCAGGGATCAGGATCCTGGATGTGACTGGGTGTTGTGCCTGACCTGCCATGTGATCATGAGCATGGTGAGCTTCAAACCTGGGCTTTATCTGGAAGGAGGTGACATCACTGGATCCAACAAAAGTTAGTCTAGCCCCAAAATACCTTTTCTTTTTACTGAAGGCTTTAAATAAGGTTTCTCGGAGCAGAACAGGGGATGTGGAACATCAGAGCATTTGCAGCAAATACAGGTTTCTCATTTACATGGTGAAGGTCAGGTCCTTACTGGATAAAAGCTGTGCCATTAAAATAAGCCCAAACCCAGGCCTCTCCAAAGTTACAAAGCTATGTTTGTTGAGGAATGGCTTTTTCCAGAGGCCAGCAGAGTTGAGGCAGTGCAGATATCCCCCAGAATTCCACAGCCCTGGTTAAATGGAGCTCTGTCACAGCGAGTGCAAACCCATTGTTGCAGAAGGGGTCTTATTAAACAGTGTCCACTTACTGGGACAAAACATCCTGATTTCCAGGCATAACTTAGGAAATTCAATGTACTGTGGGCAGCACGTTCCAAAAATGTTGTCCAAAACAGGGATGACTTGCTAGTGAGCAACAGGAATTGCTGCTGTTGTACAGGGTCGTGCTTAGAACTGTATTTGATGTTCCAGATGACATCTTGGAAACTCGGAGTGCTTGGAGCTGCCTGACGAGCGTTAGGTGGGAGTCTGTGGGTGGAAGCACTTGAGGCTGATGCTGCTTCCATCCGGGTCTGCTCCCAGCAAACCTCCCTTGGTTACTTATTTGATAGTAAAATTCATGTCAGGGCCCTAAATGTTATGATGCTGGAAGGAAATGCTTTGTCAAACTCCATGTTTCTGTCACGTGGCGTTTATAAGGTGTTTCATTATAAGTAGGAATGCATTTAATATTTCCAAGGAGTGGAATAAACTTCGTTGTGACAAAGCATTCCTGGAATCTGGCATAAGGAATCACTGCAAAGCTTTTGGAAATGACATGTTGTTTGTTCCCTGGCTGCCAAGACATGTAGTTCTGAGTATAACAGAATTAATTTTTTTTAGTATTATTTTAAATTTTAGCGTTACCAGGTAGAAAAGTCTCGTTAAGTCTCCAGAGGAATTTCAGCTTTGTACTCAAATGACCCATTTGCTAAGTGCTTTAGGTTTCTGTTTGGCCAAATGTAAATCTCATGGTTGGCCATGTGTGAAAACATTTGATGCTGTTTGCTTTTGTCTCAACTGTAGTTTTCCAAAAGTCACACCAAGGCAGCCTTCTCTCAGGGCCACTGGGGTTCAGATGGGGACTGGTGTGAATTGGGATGTTTTCAATGTGAAACTGAAAACACTCAGTTTTTAGCTACTTAAAATATTTGTTTCCGAAAAGCTAAAGCTAAATAGTAAATACAGTTGTTGCTATTCCCCGTGGGTTTAATTTCAGTGAGCAGGACCATTCTTGCTATGCAAAGTAGAAGGGTTGTTTCTACTGTAAATTGGAAGCCAGTGTGCCACGGAGAAGTCAGAATTGAGACTGCAGTTGATGCAAAACAAGCGCTATTTCTGGGTGATGGAGCATCATGAAAAATGAAAACGCAGCTTCTTCCCCTTTTATACTTGTCCCAAGCTCTGATCCCTTAGTTTTAGCCTTGCCCGAGTTAGAGTTCCTAATAGGAAATAAACCCCAGACCTCTGATGCTCTTTGGGAGTGTAGGGCAGCCCTGTGTTCATTCAGGTGTCCTTGGCACCTGTTGAATTGTTTTCAGTTTTCTATTTTGAAACTAATCTCTCTTCTTTACTCCATGAACGAGACAAACAAGAATGTGGCTCTGCTGGTGGTGTCAGGTGTGATGGGTGAAGGAAGGGGTGGTTGATCCCCATGCTGAGCTCGTGTTATAACAGTGAGTCAAGGTTTTTGTACAGAATTTATCTGTAGGAGCCTTTTCTTCCTGGAGAACGTAACTACTCGTTTCTCTGCTTAGGAAAGTTGGTCGCTGGGAAAAGAACCTGGAATTTGTCATCAGAGCTGTAACTTTATGGGAAGTAACTGCGAAGGCTGAAAGTCCTCTCTACATAGCTCAGTCCCAAACTTACCTGTTGAGGGTCATGATTCCAGTCCTCCCGACTTCTGGTGCTTTGGAATTAGAAGGATCTGAGTATTGAGGTGATGTTTTCTCTTGGTGGCTGGATCACTGACAGCCATAAAGAGTGTTTGGAGGCTGTTGGGTGGATGCAAGCACATCATGCTGCTGAATTTCAAGTCACTCAGTAGCTGCAAGGAAATCGCAGCCTCGTTTGTTGTAAAACACCTGGGAGGGTTTGGAGCTCTTAGTAATGCCAAATGGGGCAATTGAGCTCTGCCTGGAATACAGGTCCCTGATGTTTGGGAGAGGACTGAAGGGTTTGTGTGGGATGTTGGTGCAGGAGGCTCCAAGGTGAGAAGGGAGTCAGCTGGAGAAAAAAGAATAATAATTTGTTAAGGGAAATGCTGATGATAGTGCAGTATCTTCACCATCCCAGGTGACTGGTGTTAGGAACACTGGGAACACTGAGTTCGGCCTTTATAGGATTCCTTACTTGCTTTTAGCTTTTGATCTTGAACTGTGATGAAAACACTGTGTAAGTAAATGCTCTGAAAACTGCTGTGGGAAGCAAACTCAGTAGCTGAGTTTCACATGTGAGTTTGTACTTCACAAGTCGGTGGCTTTTCAGAATTTGAAGTGCCCATATAACTACAGATGCTCTTGTTTGTGTGGTGTGGCAATACAGAGTCAGAATTGCTGGTATTTGGAGGAGCTCACTGTGGTGAGTGTTGGAACCACTCTACGTACACAACACTCAAATACAACTGCTGGCATCAAATCTTTTCCTTGTTTTTAGACTGAGAACTTTTTCCAGATGTTGGGAATCTTTTCAGATCCAAAGCCTTATGTAGATAACTTTCAATAGGATCTGAGTCCCTTGGAAGAAGTGAGTCAGCCTTGTGCAAGTGTCTTGGGTAGTTGTGATGCATTTTGGCATTTCCAGTGGTGTTGCCTTCAGTTTTGGGCAGTTTTTGAGAGCGGTGGGGCACCCAGCTGGTGTAGAGGGAAGAACTTGGAAAGAATTGGCCTCAGAGGGACACATGTATCCTCTTGGAGTCCTCCCTGTGGATGGCACTGCTTCTCCATGAGCATGTCACAGTGCCTGTCCTTGTTGCCAGGCTCCAGCACGTCTGTGTGACAGCAAAAGGTTGTGGTCCTCTGTGGATATATTTGGGAGGGGATCCAAATACAGCTACTGGGGACAGGGGAGCAATTGCTCACCCTGTGAGCAGGTGGTTCTTGGCTGTAACCTGGGAGTAACAGTGGTGTCCTACATCCCACCTACCTAAAACTTGGCTTCTTGGCCTTCTCCTCAGTTACTGGTAGTTTGTCACTGGTGCCCACTTACAGATGATGGCACACTAAGATCCTTCCCCCCAGTCTTGTCTAAGACATTCCTGGTTTTGTATCTTCCACGGTTCAAAACTTCTATCCCAGAGCACCATGTGGCACCTCTTGTTTCCAGGAACAAGCAGCACACAGATCCTGTCCTGGCCATCTGCTTCAAAATTCGGTCTTCTGAGAGAGTACTTGTGGCTGAAACAAAGGTGTGAAAGAGAAGACTCAGTTTTCTGCCTGACTTCCTGGTCTGGGGCACCCTCCATGTTCTGTGACATCACAAACATGCCTTTTCATGTGGAGAGGGTGTATTTTAATTCACAGAAGATCAAGCTTTCATTGCTTTGTGATTTGAGGAATTTGGGAGCTGGAGGAGTTAATCCCAATGTTGGAAGTTAAAAGCTTGGATATTTGCTTATTGTCTTTACAGCCCCTCAGAAAAATTGTCTGTGATTGTTGGAGTAGGATTGTGAAGGATGCAGACTCTAAACTCTGTTTTTCAGCACATAATAGAGAGGAGCTCCTGCTCAAGAGATTTCTACTTGGGTACAGTTAAAGTCCTCTCAAAGTGGAGAACACACATTAATAGAACCAGAAGAATCTGTATAATTGCACCTGAAAATAGTCAACTGGCAAAATAACTGATTGCTTTGGGTGTGAGTTCAAAGATTTCTTTTTTTTTTTTAACTTAATATTTGCTTTTGCTATTAAGGAGAAAGCGTGAAGAGACTTCTTCTTCCAAGATAAAGAAATGAAAATTTGAAGTGGTTCTGAAGGTTTCCACTTCCTTCCTGGTGTTAGTGAGCTGGGTCAGCCCTGAAGGAGCATGTTGGGTGCTGCCCTGCAAAGGGTAGCAAAACTTCTCCAGAGCCACAGAGGAAGGAGCTGGTGTTTGAACAACCTCATTGTATGAAAATCCCAGCAGGCCATGGCTGTTTTTACCATCCTGTGCCGCTGTGCTGTGTGTGGAGGCCGGTGGAACAGTGACTGCTCCGTGCAGGGCTTCACTCCGGGTCACTTCCTTGAGGTTTGTCTCTGGTGTTCTGAGCTGAGGCACTTGGGCTGTTGTTGGTTGGCTCCCTTTGCTGCTTGGCCTGAAACACCAACAACCTCGAGCTGTTCTGGTGCTTTGAGTGCCTGACACTCATGCCAAGAGGTGCTTTTTGGGGTGTGCAGAGACATGCACCTGCAACACGGTTGCATGGATGTTGTCTTGGGCAGTTCCCATCCCCTCACTGCCTGGATACAGCTGCTTGCAGGGCCAAGTACTGAAGGGAATCCTGGAACTCTGATTAAAGTGCCTCCTCTCTGCTCTTATCACTCAGCCCAACTCAGCAGTTGCTTTGCTGCAGTTGCCAGAAGTGATGGTGTTTAATTGCTCAGCTCTATTGTCAAGAAAAGAAATGGATGTGCATCCTCACCTGAATGTTTCCGTGGCCTGTTCTGGTTATGTGTATAATTACAGGCGCATATTTAATTTTTTGGAAGACCTGTGGAGAGTTTTTCCAAATTTTGGTCCCTTCTGCAGCTGGTAACTGTGGGTTTGGTGTGTTCTTGTGCAACAAAACACGAATGCAATCAGCATTCCATTGTGTGGCAGATAGAAATGTGGAGAGGGATTTAGGGGAAACCAAGAGGATTCACATGAATAAACAGTCTCCCTTGGAATGAGCTTTCCTGTGGGGGAAGAATAACTTAAGGATAAGTTAACTCCTAATAATCTACATCCTAGTCATCTAGGATCTGAGAAATATGGAGTGGAAGGAAAGATGTGGAGAGAAGAGTGTGGGGGAGCCATGTCTTGAGGTTACATTCCAGAGCAGGAGCTTGGAAGTGACAGGACTGGGCTGATCCATGTGCATCAAAACTAGGCTGAACAGCAACTTTTTAATAAAAAGGGAGGAAGAGCAACATTTCAACTCTTAGCAGTGTAATTTTTTCTTCTGGGAGCAACAGTGTAAAGTGGAAAGTCTTTGGAGTAAAATCCCACCTAGTATGCATGGAGGAAAATAACTATAATAGAAAATAACAATTTAATACAAAACCCCAATTTCTAAATACAATGAAGATCTGGTGAAATACTATGTCAGATGCCTTTGGTTTGGTAGTTTGTAATACTTCTGCAAGGACTGAAAGGCTCTCTGAGCAAATAAAGGTGATACTCTTTGATTTATAGGCTTTTTAGCTATGTTAGCTTGTTATGTAATAACCAGTCTCTTTATTTTCCTCGGTAGAACAACAGGCTTGAAATATCCTTCTTTGTATTGTTAAGAGAGCTGAAAGTAATACTTGAAAACGTGGGTAAAAACATTGCTATCTGGGGTGATAACTTCTGGGATGGGACAGTGGAAGGGCTTGGTGCTGTCTTTAGGGATAACTGGGATGGTGGATACCGAAATTGTCTGGAAGGAAGGTGTTGGGGATCTCTGTCCTTCTCTTGTGCCACAGTGTAAGTCCCTGCCTGGTGTCCTGCTGTCCCTTGCCAGGTATCTCTGCAGGCAGCACTCAGATTTGGGGGAGGTTGGGTGCCAGCCTGCTCAGTGCACTTAATTATTCACCATTCGTTATTGTAATTATTCCTGTTGCTGTCCTGCACATCAGGTAGAAAGCAGGACTGATTGGGTGGGTTTTCCTCTTGCAGAAGCCCAGTGCCTTGATGACAGTAATATTTTACTGGGAAAGGGACACAGGATATTCTTGTCAGCTGGTGCACAGTCCATCAAATACCAAATTGCACATCCAGGTTTGTTCCCTGTTCTGTAGTGGAAGGTTCTAGGGAACGGGGTCTGCACCTACCCACTGGTTTAACTCAACTGCTTTAGAAACACTCCTGAGTGCAAGTCTGAGTAGAGGCAAGTCTTCAAAGCCTTAGACAAGAAAATGGTGAAAATACTGGAGGTTTCCCATTCTCCCCCACTGCTGTACAAGTTGTGTTTTGCTATTTCTGTATCGAATCCCACCAGACTATTTTCTCTGAACTCGAGAGAGCTCAGGTAGCTGGTTTAAAAATACCTGCAGCAATTAGAGACTGCAGTTAGAATTCGAGGTATGTCTTGTTGGGAACAAGAATGAACAAGTGATTGCTAAACTCCTCATGCTTCCAGAACATCCTCCCTTCAAAGGTGGCCCCTGCAGAGCCCTCGGAGGGAAAAGTTTTGGGGTGTAAACAGGCAAAATTACTTCTTGTAGCGGAAATCCCGGCTTATAAAATAACATGTTGCCAGGGCTGTGTTTTGTTGGCTGTAAAACTAAGTAAGAATAAATGAGCAGAGTAATGGTAAATAAACTGCCAAGTCATCATTAAAAAATGGTCCGAGCTAGAAGAGGCTTGTTGGGAAAAGGATACTGGCAGGTTTTCCAAGTGCAGATGCAGGTTGTGCCAGCAGAACAAAGTGCTTCTGCAGGTAAAGCTGCTTTTTGCAGGGAAGTGGTACAAGCCATAACCACATCTGTGCTGGGGCTGCTGCCAGCCTGAAGATGCTGCCAAAGATTACATCCCCAAGCCACTGCTGCATTGGCAATGGTTTCCTGGGCCTAAATAGTTTCTTAAGATGGCTAAATTATTATTTTTTTTCCTTAGACTAAGGCATCACTGGGTGGATTCACTGCCCGTTTGTCAAGGTGGCATCGCCTGTATAAAACAGATTTTCCCAGTGGTGGGGAGATGAAGTCAGCCCAAGGGAGGTGCTTTTTTTCTTTCCTAAAATGCTACAGTGTGTGGTGATGCCTCAGTTAGTGGGGAAAAATCCCTCACTGTCAAAATGAAGAGGGAATGGAGCACAAAAGTGGGTGCTGCTTTGAGGAAGGGACAGAATCAGAAGCAATAAGGGACAGAGAACTGAAGAAAAATAAAATATCCAGTGCTCACCAAACTGAGGCCTAGAGGAGAAAGAACATGGAAGAATGTTAAGGATTTTTTTTTTCCTCTGTAAAAATTCTTTAATGTTCTTGTAAATTGCCCCTGGCTACAAATTCTTGGGCTAAGCCCATGTTTGTCATCAGTCACAATGTCTCTGAAGGGTTAACATGCCACCAGTGACTGTATATCCAGATATTTCTGAGCTAACCTGGCATTGCCACCACAGAAGTTACTAACTGGGATGGCTTTTGCTTAGTTGTCACGTAAGACTTCTGTCTTACAGGTTTTTGTGGATGCCACCTTGTTTTGCTCATGGAAGTTATCATCCCTCACAATTTTCTTCTTCCTTTATTTGTTGGAAAATGTTAATTACAGTGTTCTGAAGTGGAAGTCAGGATTCAGGACCTGTGAGATTTTTGCACAGTGAATTATTTCCCCCAAGAACCTGAGGGTGTGAGAGCTCTGATTTCTGGGGATAAAGCTCTGTTCACAGTCAGGTTATCCTGGAAACAGCCGATTTTTAGGAATCAAGAGCGCTTGTCTTGAGGTGATGTGCAGTTTGGCTGGATTATTTATATCCTCTGTATTACACAACTCTTGGGGCACCTTGTGATAGATGTTCTCCAGTAGTGCCCAGTAACAAAAGCAGGTGGGAGACAGATCACCCAGAACTCGAGACTGAACCAGCACTCGAGGGACATGTTTGTGCTGAACATCCTTGGGGTCTGATCCTCTGCTTGCACACTGTCCAAAGAGGAGACACCCTTCCTTTAATCATCATCTGGAAGGACCTTTGAGACCAGGAAAAGGACAATTTGAGAGCCCTTTGCAGAGAATGTAGAAAACTTAACCCAGAGAAACTCAATTAGTTGTTTTGTTGGTGCACACTGGAGCCTACAGACAGACCTGCTGTGGAAACTGTCCGTGGAAAAAGAACACAAGTTATCAGGAGTTTGCCCTTCTCAGTATAACTGTGATATTGAGAGCCAGAAGAACATCCTCATCCTCTCAGAGTTTGAGTGATTTCTTCTAAACATTTCAAGTCTGCCGTGGCATCAGTATTTATCCAGGTTACTTCTGATACCTCCACTGATCTGCTCATAGCACCCTCCTAACACTGCCCACACCGTGTCCCTGGACCAGGTGATGCCTCTGAATGTTCTCAGAGCAGCAAAAGCCAAGTTCTGTTTTCCTGAAGACATGCAAAATCCTGGTCAGCAGTACCCAGGACTTCTCCGTGGAAGTCATTCACTGGCCAGGGCTAAAGTGGCCTGTTTTTACACTGCAGGAGCTGCTGGAAGTGGGAGCTGCCAGAGCCAGCAGTTTTCCTCCCTGATGG